TTTAATTCTGGGAAGTTTAATATTATTATCCTTTTTCTATTCACCTATTGATTCTGATGTCCTAATCAACATTCTTTTTACATATTTATTTTTATTAATTATTGTCGTTATACTGTAAATTATTCCTCAATAAGAGTATTGACAGTGTTTCCTATTCTTATTGCAGGTGGTCAATCCATTTACAAAATATCCTTTGCTTTTGCTATTTAAAATTTAGCATAGTGTTTTACCCTACGGAAAGAGACATCTTTCATGGTTATTTTCTTAATTATAGCCACATACGCTTTGACCATGTCACCCGTGGCTATGTGTCTGGAGGAGTTGATACCATCTCGCCACCAAAAATCTCATATATACCCAATCCTTATCAGAACTGCTCTGGTGATATCAACCTTATTGGTTGGTCTCACTATACCCTTTTTTGGTAATGTTCTGCCCACTGAAGTTATATAGTTTCTGTATAAGATCATTGTTGCTCTGTTTCCAAAAAATATCATGAAATAAAATGGAAATTCAGTTATTTAGGAATCTTTATCTACTGGTAATTATCTTCCGGGGATAATTTTGCTTCTCTTTATACAACAATATTGCAGGTCTTGTAATGGCATTGATTGGATCCTTACTAACAATGCTTGTGGTAAGCCCTTTTACAAACTTTTTTATTTTCTTTTGTGATGCTTTATTTCGATCAATCTTTAGGACTCTTCCAAATTATAACAATAAAAATCCTTTATATGTGTCATATGTCATTTTTGAACTTCTTTTTCTTTGTTCTTTTAGCTTGTTCCATATTTGGAGGTCATTTAATGAGAGTTGGACTCTTAGTTGTATGAGAGTGGGAATCTTAGTTGGAGAGAGGAAAAAATATTTTGAAAGTGAGAATCACGGGTATCTTAAGATAGTAATATTTATGCTCTATATTAAGGACTAAACAGAATAATCACTTTTGGTTCATGTAGCCGACCCCACTTATGGGATAAAGTCTTTGATTGATTGATTGATTGATTAAAGACTAAAGGAGAGGAACATAATAAAAATATGCTCACAAACCTAAACAAACGTGAAGAGTGTTGGTAGTAGATATTCGTGTTTGATGTTCAGCGAATGAAAAAATATGACTACAATATGCACATTACGAGTTCATACAATTTTTACAACCTATTAATGTCTCACAAGTTTTATCATTTGTTCCCTGTCATGTATAATTATTAATTAACTGTAGGTATGAATATGTCAAATTTTAATGTTACATAATAAAGCATTAAAATCAAACTTATTTGCATCACACGGGCTTGATAACTAGTTTTTATAATTGTTGATCATAATGCGCATACTGTAATATTTCTCCATGAAAGAAGGAATAGTGGACAATCAAATGGTTAGTACCATGCCATATAGATTGAATAAAAAATTAACACAAAAATGCATCAAATGATTAGCAATTGTAGGTTTCATGTTTTGCTCAGATTATTTACTAATAGATATTTTTGGCAGACTCTAATATTGCCTTGCGCATGCTTCCTAAGCATCTTGTGGGAAAAGGTGACTTACCTTCAGGTATGTTTAATCATTAGTTTGCTTCCAGTATTTGATGATTAAGTTTCATGATTGTATAAATAACTTGATGTAAAGTTCTGGCTCCTGTCCTGCTCAATTTCTATCTTCACTGTTAAGATTTTTTTATTTTATTTATTTATTATTATTGTTATTGTTATTATATAGAGCTTTCATGTAGTCTGCCTTTCCTAAATAAATTTGAACCCAGAAAATAATTAATTTCTTCTATTGGGTGTTTTATAATAACGGTTGTTTACTTGACTACCCAAAATCTGTATATTTAACTTCCCAAATCTCTATGTTAGATTTTCAGAGACATTGGACCTGTATAATAATAATTTACTAGTATAAACAATGAACAAAATCACGTTAACAAATAACAAGCATAAGTACAGGTACAAAATGGAATGACTTCTAATTGGCTACACAAAAAAGTAGTCTTTCTTACTGTTTCAATCCGACCATCAAAATTTGAAGGATCAATCTTGTCATTTGTCTAACTAGGTATAGATCAATCAGTTCAGTTTCAAAAATCTTATGAATCATTGAAACATTGGTTCTCTGGTACTACAATGAACAACTTTTGCTCTGGTATTTTTAGAATTGTTCTGAAAAGATTTTGAAAAATATAAAGGTGTGTGGGACTTCATCCCCTCTCTACATCTATTTGTGTACATTCTTTATGTTCCTTAATTCAACCATTTTAAATCCATGTAATAAATATAAGCCTATAGATATATTAATTTGCTTACGAACTTTCTCAATCATTGGAACGGGGGGTTTTAGGTACATATATTGTTAGCATGATAAAGCTCTATGTATTGGATACACATCTATAATTACTCTATAATACCGTTTGAGACTATAGTCAACGTTTGTGTGCTCACTTTTATAATAGGTTAGTCCCACTTGGGAACAGTCATCTGACTAACTACCTAAAGAAACCATGCAGACCAACATTGAAGGCTGATAGATATCTGGGAACTCTTTTTTGACTTAAAAAACGTTGTAGTACAATAATTGTTCAATGATAATTACCATCTCTGATTTCCTGAGTATTATGTTCTGGGTTTGAAAACTTCGAGAAATGATTTCAACTGAGATTTACATGTGTATGCTTGCTCACAGTAATGTGTATATGGCTGTATTTTTTACTGTGTACTTGTGTGAGAACACGCACTTGCCCGTGTATGTATATTCTTTCTAAGCAGCCTGAGGAATGTAAATTTTTGACAATCTATTTAGTCTAGTCTTAGCTCTGGTTATATTCTTAGTATCCCAAATTTGCTTTTTTTTTTCTTCTTTTCCTTCAGTAATCATTTTCCATTTTTCAGGTGTCAGCTTGTGTTGTGATTATTGCTGTTGGCGCGGTGTCATCGGCTTTTGGAACATATTCTGCTCTCTCTAAAATTATTGAGAGCTTGTCATGAATTATTCAGATCCTGTATAATTCAATCAATTTTGATTACAAACTGCTAAGCAATTTTGTAACTTATATCTCGTTAACTTAACTGTCAAAGATACAAATCTTCCCCGCCTTAAGTGGGTCTCGGGTGATTTAATTGTTATTTACCTATTTGAGGTGGATAGCTATTTAAATGGTGAAAACTTGACTCTGCTATCGCAATGTTCTTGCATATTGTTGCTTTCCCCTTTAGAAAAAAAAAAGTTCTTGCATCTATTTAAAATCATATCATATTGTTAACACATACTTCGTATGAAGTATTAAATATGCGAGTTTGTCTTTTAAATCTTAATTAATTTTTAAAAAACTGTGTAAAAAAAAATTGACATGGTTCTTTATCCTTTTAATTTATCCAGTGTATAGTGTATCTTGATGTGTGCTATTTTACACTAACTGCTATATATTGAATATATATGATGTTATTTAACGATGTTTGAAAAATAAGAGACAAACCTAGTTAATCTTTATGATTGACAAATCTTGTCAATTTGTTAGCAAAATTGTAAATAAATGCACTTTTTTTCTTTAATGTTTTATGGTGAAAGACGTTACTTATAATGGATATATCCTAATACTGCTACTTGAAATATTTCGTAGCAGTTTTGCCCATGAACAAATTAAAAAAACTATCAACAAGAATAAGAAAACTAAGTAAAGCATTAATAATAATAATAAGCTAAAGTAAAATAAATATTAAAATAATAGAAATATTAGAAAATTAAAACTAAATAAAACAAAGATAATAAAAAGCATTAAATTCCAAAGTTATAAAATTTTAAGTATCAAAATCCTTAGCTGGGAAAAGCAAATTTTTTTTGGGTAAAACAAAACAAAACTACAAAAGTGTAACACCCCCAATTTACTAACTGAAAATAAATAAGAATTAAAGGAAAAATAAACAACCTTTAAATAAAATTGTGGAAGCATACTCCTAAATCGAGTGTTAAGGCTTACAAAAAACCCAATAATTACAACCCAACAAACTAGGTGAGCGATTTATACAACTTTACAAACTTGTTATAACAAACTAATCGAAACACTTGAGCTCCTTTAGCTACGACCACTTGATCAACCTGTTTAGACAAACTTGACTGCTCACCATTAAGGACAAATTCCAAAATAGATCGTCGCAGGGCCACCATAAGAAAAAGACATGGCCGCAAACACAAATATCACAATAAAACAACACACACGCCAGCAAAAGCTGAGTAATCACCACGTCACAGAATACAGAGTATAACAAAATAATCAACATTACTAGCTCAATTAAACAATGTAGTTCAAAACTACATTACACATTGTACTCTGGAAGTAACCTTTGTCAACTCAACCTCGAATAATAATATGAACTTTTACTCAATTAACTCATCTATCCCATAAGTGTGTCACGCTCTTTGTTTTATACCTAGCTTTGGACATGAGTAATTCGAATAACAAACCAACAAGTATAAAAACTTGAATACTCTGAATAACCAGAAAACATCTTGAACCAGACCACATACGGGTCAATTCTCACTGTAGGGAAACATAGAAAAATAAATAATAAAGATTGTACCTCATTCTTAACTCATGATCATTATATCATTACCAACATGCCAAGGACTAAGGTCTATAAAGTTGAGCCTCAAACCAAGAACAAAATAATCATCTCAACCTTTTGATCTCATACATCGATCAAATAATTATTCGCAAACTAATTTATAATAACTCAACAATGGCACATGTTCCCAAATAATATAACAAGATCAACTCAATTCAAAAACCTGTTAACTCTTAAGGAAATAGTACTAGCACCCAAAAATAATTAACTCACAACTCAAAAATAATACTCTGTATTAGTAACCCTAAACCTCAAAATATATCAATACTCCCTATAGCAACAACATTAAAACCATAGAAATAATCAATCATAAACAATAAAAGTATACGATACTCATATCCAATCAAATCATATAATATCAATATTCAATCATATACATATACTTTTTTAACACATAAAAACGAAATATATTACTTAATTAGAGTTTTACAATTAAAAAGACCCAACCTCATTCCGCACGACAAAATGTGAGGTTGGTAAATAGCTGAAGCCATAAGACCATATACAAGAGTAAAAATTAATGGTCTTACTACTAAACACACTGTGCCCCTTCGAAAAGCAATAAAAACAAAGTTGAAGACAACAACTAAACTAGAGAATACATACACCAGCAACAGATTACTCCTCGTCAGAGTCTTCATCAGCATTCAGAGCAGCTACAGCAGCAAGCTCTGTATTGTAAATAGGCAGGACAGACTCAGGACAGGTAAGATACAATCGATGTCCAACACTCATACTCATTCCAATTTGAGCTAATTCATGAGCAACAGCATTGTGAGTTCTCTTCACATGAAGGATTTCAAAGGTGTCAAAATATTTGATATCCTCCTCAATATCCTTCACCACAGCAGCCAATTCGTGATGGAGAGTACTACTTGCGGAATTGAGCATGACACTGAGAGAAAGCGCATCCACTTCTAATTCCACATCCTTCACCTCCAGCCGTTTAACCATAGCAATACCTTCTCTGACTGCTAGCAATTCGGTTGCAAAGGCTGTGATTGCATTGTACTTGCTCGAAAAACCCATTATCCAAGACCCATCATCCCTTCGCACGACTTACTTGATAGATCACACAAATTACAATTATAAAATTTACACATATAATAATACAATTCTAATAATTTAATAATAGTACAATTAATAAACAAATTATAACCAAACAATTCTAATAATTTAATACAATCACATTATAATCAAGCAACTCCAAAATATCGATAGTGTGATTACATATAATAAATAATACAATCAAATTATAAACAAACCATCTAAAGATTGATAGTGTGATTAGTGATTACCTTTCGAGAGTAATAACCCACGCACTCAATTAAGAGTACTCCGATCTCACAAAATCCACGGACAAAATTATATCAAAAGTTGGCTTATGGAATGCAAAATTCATCACATACATTGGAAGAAGGTTAGATAACAATAAAGGGTTGACTTTGGTTTTAGAAAATCCAATTGATGATTTGCTTCACAAAACATCAAGAAAGCTCACGAAAGTTTTTTTTTGTTTTTATTATTTTTTTTTTTTTGAAAATTGGATTAGCAACATAGGATAAAACTGGAGTACATAGAGGCAAAGATGATAACTATTAGGGTATAAATAATATTTATAGTTTGGTAAACAAAGAGTCCTTTTAGATAATAATAGGGTTTATAACTTTCCAAACTCTAAAATAAAATATATAAGATTAGGAAAGTTAATTAATAAAAATAACTATTTTTTTTATACAATATAATATATAAAATTATAAAATATTTGGGTATTACAAAAATCCTTAAATGAGTCCATGCCTAAAAAATTTAAACTAAATTCAAATTAAAGTGTGAATTTGGATATCTATATCAACCCATTCAAGAACCAAAGACCGACATCAGGCTCGAATTAGTGCGCCGAGATGGAACACTCCCACCCGATCTAGCATTGGGCCCGGTCAGCCTTCACGCCAACTGAGAGCTTGCTTTTGCTTGGAATCGGGCTCCTCTTGCTTTGGGCCCAAAAGTCTCTCTACCAACTACTTGGTTCATTCTAGTAAAATTGGATCCACTTTTTTTTCAACTTTTAAACACTTTTTTTTTCCAGCTCACAATTAAGAACACTAAACTTCTTTTTCTACACCCAACTTGATATTTAACTCTCTCACCTCACTTACTAATAGCTCCTCAAGCCAAGCTTGGGATTAGACCTGGCAATCATTACCCAGACCCGATGACCCGACCCGAATGACCCGACCCATGATCCGAAATCGACCCGAAACCAGTGACCCGAAATTGACCCAAAACCCGAATTAACCCGACCCGACCCGAAGTGAAACTGACCCGACCTTGACCCGAAACCCGAAATGACCCAACCCGAAACGACCCGACCCGAGATGACCCGACCCAAAGTTGACCCGAAACCCGAAACGACCCGACCCAAAGTTGACCCGAGACCCGAAGTTGACCTGACTCGAAAATGACCCGACCTTTAACTTCTTTTAGTAAATAATTATATAAGTTATAAAAAGTTTAAATTAGGAAATTATACATTAAAATAGACCCAACAACATCTTACATGACTACATTGACTTTCATATAATAGCTAAAAAAGATGGTCAAAGTGAGATGTATGAATAGTGCAAAATGTCAAATCGTTAAGAGTAATTTGGAACGGAGGGAGTATAAAAATAATTTAAAGAAATTATTACAACAATGACAATGATAATAAGAGTACGTATTAAAACTAAGATCAATAAGAGAGTGAGGTATAACTCAATTAGTTAGAGCATCCCTCTTAGTTTCAGGAGATCTTGAAAGTGATTATCAGTCTAAAGTTCTAAATACACACACAAAAAAAAAGGTTAATAATAGTCAAACAATTACTATAATCCATGAAAAAATAGCCTTAATAAATATAGTGAGTTTTTCATCAATAAATAAATAAATATATATATATATATATATATATATATATATATATACAGAGTTGAATTTAACCCAATGAATCACCCGAATATGACTCAACTAGAAGTTGACCTGACTCGAAGTTGACCCGGAAATTGGATCCGAAAATTGACCTGACCCAAACTGACCCGACCCAAACTTGACCCGACCTGAACTCGACCCGAAGTGTTGACCCGATACCCGACCCAACCCGAAATCAACCCGAAACCTAAAATGACCCGACCCGACCCGAACTTGACCCGATAATCTTTTGACCCGAACTTGACCCGACCCGAAATGACCCGACCCATACCCGACCCAAATGACCCATTTGCCAGATCTACTTGGGACTAGTAAACAATGGGGCAAATTAGACTTGTAATACGACTGAAAACAATGAAAAGGGTGCAAGCAACTACATGGGTAGCAAGAAGGGAACAAAGTATCTAAAATCATGTGAAGGCTACCTAAAAGAACAAATATTTCCGTTCTCCTCGATGTGTATATATGTGAACCATACAACATTACTAATAGTTGCAAACTAATACTCAAATTCAATGATATACAAGAAGGAACTAACAAACAACCTAACCAACTCAACTAGCACTAGTAGAAAAACAATCTTACAAGTAAATCTAATTTGAAAGAAGCTTATTAGTCTATTACAAAGATTCATTTCTAATGATCCTGCTGAATATTCAAAATAAACGGTCCTAAAAACACAATTTTAAAAAATGAAACACTCTCATTGTAAAACAAAATTTGTGGGTAATTTGAAGAAAATAAGATGTTAAAGTATAATAAGAAAAAAAATGGTATAAAATGCATTGTTGCAAGCCTTACTTCTCTTAAAACACAAATGCAGACATGCTCCAAGTTCCTAAGATAGACAAAAACAGCAACTGAAACCAGAAAATATAGAGGAAATAGTGAAATTTCTGCTACAACTAAGCATGTCATTACCTTCTTTGAGGGCTTTAAACTAAACCAATTTGATGTAGGCGGTGACTGTTAAGGAGATCCTTTAGCATTAGCAATAAAATAATTAGTAATAACTTAGATGAAGCCTATTTACAACTTATGCCAAATGAGCAGTCCTAACCATTTAATTTAGGCTCAACATATGTCGTCGTGGTCTTCTTCTTTTTCTAATAACAGAACAAATACATTAGCTATATATTGATAATAGATAGATTTAAATCAGTTAAAATTCCAAGAGAAAATACTCACAACAAGTAACACATCCAGCCCTTCCATTATAGGGAGTTGAATGTCCTCCATAGCTAAAAATCACCGTTAATAAAATATAGTAAATTAATTATGTAATAGATAGGAATAAAGTATGACAACAAGAGCATACAAATTTGCAGTCTATCAGGCATATATAGCTAAAATAGAAGTATGAATTGTCCTACTCAAAATGCTTTCTTTTAGTGCAAGAGCAATGGATTACAAAATAAAAAAATTAAAAAAATCCAACTGCAAGAAACATGCCTAAAAATCACTACCATTAATGACTTGTCAACAGGACAATTCGTATCATTAATAACTGCACATTTTTTCACGCTTCCAATTCCCTTGAACCCTTTTCAAGGGCAGCTGCCTCAGTCAGGTCTGGAAGTCTAGAACTCTGGATCATGAGTTTGAAGATGGTTTCTTAGGCATAAGGGGAAGACAAAAGAATTCAGGATACTATTGTAGAACATGTAGATTGGTTCTATACATTTAAGGTTCAGATCCCTATAATCCCTTTTTCTATACACTATATATCCAATATGCCTGATATACTAGAGTGATGCAGAGAAGATACTTGACAAGCAGAATAAACCACATTAACCGCCATTGGTTACTAGCAAGCATACCCCCATGAAGGTTAAATTATCTATAACTCCTTTGTAAATTAAAGCATAATCCCACATCTCCAAAAGGAAGCCCAAAATCAATATGTCAAGAGTCAAAGTGTTGTTATTCTTACTTAAGAATCCTTCATTATGCAGATTTCTTAGTATGTTCTATCATTATTAGATTTCATGGTATAGTCTGAATGAAGTTTTGTAGATCCTAAAAGCTACCTGCACTAATCCACTAATAACCCACTTTAAAAATCCAACACTAGGTAAAACCCCCAATTCCCCAAACCACCTTTATCAATAAATTAAAGCCTTAGTAAAGTGAAATTCTGATAGAAATGCAGAACAACAACAATAATCAATGTTAAGAACGTACAAGCTAACACAATCAGCTTTGTCCAAGACATAACTCATAGTCAAGAATGCAAGTTACATTATCATTCATTTCATACAAGTAGAGATAAATGTACCAGCGAAATATAAGTCATTTCCACTACATCAATACATTGAAAAAGATACTATTGCCTCGCAAATCGCGATTGCGAACTCAAGGCATAAAAGTAAAACAAAAGCTCATAAAAGTGAATAAGATTTTATTTAAAGTAATTATCCAAAAGTAAATTATTATCCAACCACCCAATGCATATCCCTGATGATAATCAAATTCACCATTGAATTATCCCCTGGAAAAAAATAGAAATGCATTGAACTTTTCAAAAACTCAAAAATAATATGTCATTGCACAAAGAATAGCAACAGATCATAAAATTGCACCAAAACAACACGAAATTATTGATCTAATTATAAATTAAAGAGAAAACACAAATTAATCACAAATACCGAAATAAAACATTGTAAAAACTCTAGTTTTCGCAATCGAAATCACATAATATCAAAAAATCGAATTAAACCAAATTCAAAAAAAATAATCGAAATTAAATTAAATTAAATTGTTCATAAATAACCAACAACAAAGATCCAAGAACATAATCAATGAATCAAATATGCGATAAATAGGGAAAAAAATAGCGAAAATCCTAATTTCAAATTCAAAATAATCGAGAATTAAATATGTAGTAACTAATTAAATAAAAAACAAAAAACAAAAACAAAATAAAATAACTTGTTCAAAATAACAGGTGATGACAAAGATCGAAGAAAAAGATTCAAGAATTTGATATGGGAAGAACAATGAAAAATCGCATCAGGGAGAATTTGAAGGAAGAAAGAGAAAGAGTGAAGAAGAGAGAGAAAGGGAAAAAGGAAACTGATGAGTTTTTGGGTAGTCATTCAAAAAACCGAATTTCTTATTTTACCCTTAATGAGGCGGGTGAGATCTCGCCCGTTAGATGAAGTGTAATCAGCAGTGAAGATGAGTTCCTAGTTCCTATTATTCACCTTGGTTCTCACATGATCTCATTTCTATATACATATATTATTCACCTTGGTTCTTACATGATCTCATTTATATTATAATACACACACACACTTTTTACTATAAAAAAGGAGATTACTCTTATCCAAATCTCCACTCACCACTTATTTCTTATCTCCTTCTACCTTCCTTCTTAACCGGAAAAACAAAGTAAAATCATCATTAATTCGGCCACCATGATCCAAAATAGCCAAGAAGATCAACCTATGTTCACCTTCAAAAAAGACATGAGGATGATATGGGTGTACTTCATGTACATTGGTCTTCCTAAAAGCCGCATTAATTTACCTACTAATTAACAAGTGAAGCTCGAAATTAGTTCGGTGGAGCAAAGCAAAAATGTATGTGGTGTCAGACACACTTCAATTATAATATATTTCTTTATTATTTAAATAATTATTTTATCTCGTTTTCATTAAATAAAGCTTTTTATGTGAAACTTAATTAAAATCTATTAAATTAATAGTCACAAACTTAATTTAAATCTCTTTTTCCTATACACCAATATATGTTACTGTAGACACCCAATTGTGTCTCCCCAAATCCAAACACAGTGACGAATACCTTTCGCGTTATTTGATTATCGAACGAAGTGAAAGTGTGAAAAGTTTAGTGATGAGGATGTTTTTATTAAAATATTTCTCTTTCTGTTTTCTAAAAATATTTCTTTTCTTACTCCTATTTTTGAGAAATAGCCAATATAATTTGATTTGGTCCATAATAAAGGTTCAATAATAGTGTAGTTGGATTGGGCTCGAAAAGAGCTTTCCAATGATATATTATAGGCCCAATTCCGATGACTTATGAGGAAGTTATGGATTAAGTTAAATTAGGCCTAGTGATTTTTAAAGGTGGCCCGATGATTTAGAGGAGGGCCTATTAATTATATTTTAAAGATGTTTTATTTAGAATAAAATATATTAAATCTGATTTCGAAAACTACTTGGACTCTTTATTACTTGCAACCGGTGTTAAAGGTAATTACGCGTGGAAAAGCGCGTTGATTTTTGGACCAGCACAAGACGACAGAGTCGTCGCTAGGCGCTGACCTTCGTCGCCTGGTGTCGAGCTTGTCGTCTAG